GACAAGACGAAGGCATAGAAATAGTGTCAACCTTCGGTTACTCTCGATATTATGTATTCAATTTCTGGACCAATGAGCCATATTATAAACTGGATAGAGCAATAACTCAATCCCACTATGGCCACAGTTTTCGTGTCATTGCCATATACTGAATTACGCTGTGAGATAACTTCTCCCGTACCCAGGAGTGATGAATCCTCTGTCAATCTACCATAGTCTTGATACACTCCTTGATGTAGTCAATCACCACCGTATTGACAGCTCTGAAAAGAACTGCGTTAGGCTAGTGTCAAACTGCACCTATCGGTGCACAAGGCATTCCGGTGATCTGAAGTCTAAGGATCACATGCACCACCATTCGTTAGAGGATTTGTTCCATAGACACTAGGGTTACCATCTATATGGAATCTTCTGGTGGGTCAGTCTAGTGAACTTGCTGTGGTGTAATTGCCTACAGCAAGCACTTATGTGTTGCACCAGGTTGTCACCAAACAACCTTAACAAGTGAGATCAGTCACTGCCATTCGACAAGGTCGTCAACACTATGATAGTCTTATCGTATTATCTATGCCCTTACTTCAGAATAATACTAGGGCTACAGACGTTTCTAGAATGGCCACCATATGTGCTCATAGGGTTCTCACTATTAAGATTTGAAACATTTGATACCATCGTCACGATTCTACCATTCTAAGGACATATATCAATACATATTGCAATAATAATGATTTACGTGATATAGAATAAAATGCCTTTTATTGATTAATGAACATTATTACAAAGAGTCAATTCTACAATAATTGATTGGCTCTAGGGCATCTACTCTAACACTAGCCTTAGTTTTATTCTAGCAAAGGACATAGATAATAAGGTAAGACTATCATAGTGCTGAACGACCTTGTCAAAAGACAGTGACTGATCTCATTTGTCAAGGTTGTTTGCCAACAACCTGGTGTAGCACATAGGTGCTCGCTATACAAACCCACCAGAGGATTCCATATGGATAGTAACCCTAGTGTCTATGGAATAAATCTACTACCAAATGGTAGTGCATGTGATCCTTAGACTTGAGATCACTGAAATGCCTTGTGCACCGATTGGTGTAGTTTGACACTAGCCCAACGTAGTTCTATTCAGAGCTATCAATACGGTAATGATTGGCTACATCGAGAAGTGTATCAAGACTATGGTAGATCAACAAAGGATTCATCATTCCCTAGTACGGGAGAAGTTATCTCACTGCACAATTCAGTAAATGGTAATGACACTAAATTTGTGGCCACAGTGGGTTTGAGTTGTTGCTCAATCCAATTTATTAAATTGATCATTGGTCTAGTAACGATTGATGAAAGGATTTGGTTGCACGGTAACCATATTATTGACAGGCAGCTATTTCGTTGAATTTGAATTTATCGGGTGGTCATAATGCCTTGCTAGTAGCCAATCTTGGTATGTGTGTAGGGAGACGATTAATTGGTGTTAATCCCGCTACTACTCACTATTGATATGATGAGGAGCCTACAAGTCACAAACTTAGAAGATAATTTAAGAAACAATTTTTGAAAGGGGTATTTTCGTCTTTTAGGACAAAAGGGTACTTTGGTAATCTCACACTACAATAAAATTTGTTGAGGTTGTTGCCTATATTTAATTTTAATAGTAAAATTAAAATCAGTGAGATTATATTTAAATATATGCGCATATTAATATATATTTATGTGCGCATATATTTAAATGGATTATTATTATTAATTAAATGTTAATATATTTTTTATATATATTAATTGATTTTAATTGCAATAATAATTAATTAAAATTAAAATACCATAAAGGGCGTGTTTGGTTGCAAGGATGGATTAACTTGAGAATCCATGGCTATTCCTATTGGGATTAGGGTTTTAATTAAGTGACACCATATAAGTGAAACTTAATTATATATATATATATGTGTGTGTGTGTGTGTGTGTGTGTGTGTGTGTATTCATTCATTGAATAAAAATAAAACCCTAGCCACCCTCTCCCTTTCACGTTTTTGGCGTTAGTGAAGAAAAAAAAATTCCTTGTCTCTTTTTGATTCTTGAAGCCTCCTTGTTGTTCTAGCAAAACAACAGTGGGTTCTATGGATTATCTTTGTGTGGATGATGCGATTGCGATTCGACTTTGAATCGGGAGCAAAATCAAATCAGAGACATTTGAAGGAGCCCCCAAATAGACATAAGTATTTTGATCCTTGAATGAATTTGATTTTATACAAATTTGTTCGTTTACATTGGTTTCGTTTTAACATGTAAAATCGTTATAATCGTTGCCTAGATCTTTGCATTTAGAGTAATGACAGATTCATTTTTAAAATTATTATTTCATTATGCCTTTTTCCCCTATGCGAATCTGATCATTCATTTACAAACCATTGTGCTCATAGAGTTCTTACAATTAAGATTTATAACACTTAATTCCCTCGTCATTGGTTCCAACCTTTTGAAGGATATATACTATTTTCTTTATGCGCAGTAAATAGATGCTATAGTATATGCTCATAAATAAGCAATGCCTTTTTATTCATTAATTTGAAATGAGTTTACAAGAGCTAAATCGTTGGCTCTAGTGCATCTACTCTAACGGGAACCTTATCATTCTCTAAGTAGGAAGATGGGTGTCATCCATGACTCATCCGAACCAACCAGAAACACCTCAACCGAGCCGATCCTTATAGCTAGTGTTTAAAGTTGAATCAGTGGAACCGCTGTTGGTGTCAAAACTTGAAGAGCCGAGTCAACGTTCTCCAACGTGTCAACATGAGTGTTCTCAAACCTTGGGACTTGAGTGATTGCGATCTCTTTGAATGCTGATTGGAGTTTTTAGCTAAGTTGAGGTAAAAGGTCATCTTTGCATCTCTAGCTTTGTTGGAGCCTTGGAGCTAATTCACCACCAACTATGAATTAGACTTAACTTCAAGTTTTTCAACCCCCATTACTTTAGCGAGAGGGAGGTCGATGATCAATGCTTCGTATTCGGTTTCATTGTTGGTTTCCTTGAAGCTATATCATATGAACTGTTGTATGATATCCCCTTCCAAAGAAGTGAGGACAAGCCCTAGCCCGTTGTCGTTGACGTTGCTTGAGCCATCTACTAATAGGATCCATTTAGACGATGCATGGTCTATCAAGCATAAGAACTCCCTCTTCACCTGAATTGAAGTGTTAGGTGTGAAATTGGCAATGAAGTCAGCTAGCATTTGACACTTGATGGTGGTATAAGGTTGGAAAAGGATGTCAAATTTGCTCAACTCTATTATCCATTGAATGAGCAGATCCGAGAGGTTCTGTTTAAGCAAATCTTTTTAAAGGGGTAAGAAGTCAAGACCACAATTGGGTGGCAAGGAAGTTAATGGTTATAAGAGCGAGGCAAGCTTTTCAAGTTGGCTATATCGTGTCTCAACATCAAGCAGAGACTTGCTAGTGTAATTGATAGGCAGTTGCTTTTCTTCTTCTTCTTAGATCAGTACGACCCAGATGGCCTATTTGGATATACTAAATAGGTGAAGAGTCGTTCCCTTGTTTTTGGTTTAGAGAGTAAAAAGGCGATGTTAAGTATCTTTTCAGTTGGGCCAATAATTCTTCACATGTTGGGGTCCATTTGAACTTCTTTGGACTTTCTGAAGGATGCAAAGAAGAGATGACACTTCTCCGCTGACTTTGATATGAATCGTTTCAGCATGGCTACCCTTACAGTAAGACTTTGGACATCTTTTATGCAAGTAGGTAAGGGAATGTTCAAGACCAGATTGATTTGGTCGGGTTAGTCTTGATGCCGCGCTGTGTGACCATATAGTCGATGAACTTTGGAGGAGACGCCGAATGAACATTTGGCTAGATTATATTTCATGTTGTACTTTCGTAGTACCTCAAATACTTACCTTAGGTGGTCAAGGTGTTGCTTGGTGATCAATGAATTCACTAGCATATTGTCAATGTATATTTCCACGGAATCTCCTAACAAGCTGGAAAACATCCTATTCATAAGATGCTGGTAGGTGGCACCGACGTTTTTTAAGCCGAACAGCATTATCTTGACAATAGTAAATACCGATTTCAGTGATGAAGGCGGTTTTCTCTTGGTCATTCAGGTGCATGAGTATCTGACTGTAGCTTGAGAAAGCATCCGTGAAACTTAGAAAGCATCCATGAAACTTAATAACTCCTGTCTAGTAGTGAAGTCGACTAACATGTAGGGGGAAGGAGTCTTTAAGGCAAGCCTTATTTAGGTTAGTGAAATCGATGCATACTCTCTACTTTCCGTTCTTTTTCTAAATGATGACTACATTTACCAACAGTTGGGGTATTAGACCTCCTAAACTAAGTCATTGCTTAGCAGCTTCTCCACCTCCTCATTAATCACATTGTTTCTCTTTGGAATGAACTTTCTTCTCTTTTGTTTCATAGCGGATAGTCTAGGTCGGCGTTTAGTTCATGCACTATTGCTTCAAAGCCGATCCCTGTTATATAGGAGTGAGACCAAGAAAAATAGTCATGTTCCTCTCGAGGAAGTCTATGAGCTTTTCTCAGATGTCGAGTCTAAGTTGGGCACCACCTTGGGTTTTTTGATCTGGGTGATCAGGGTGTATCTGGGCTTGGTCTGGCTTGGCCACTCCAGCCGAGTAGGACTATAGTTGCTACATAATCCCTCGCTTGGTCTTGAAGGCAATCTGATAAAAATCCTTAAAAGCCTTCTAGTCTCGCAGATTTCATTTATTCCCCACTTGGTAGGGAACCGAATGGTCTAGCAGAAGGTGGAGGGGATGGACCGCATGCTATGAATCCAAGGTCAACTGAGGATCACATTGTAAAGGGAGGGGGCATCTAGTATCATGAAGGTGGTTTGGAGGTTGATCGCCTCAACATAGACTGGTAGAGCTATATATCTCCCCTATTATGTATTTTGTTCCAAACTAAAACCAACGAGTTGAGTAGACCAGTAGATGATGTTTGACTCATCTATTCTTATGACTTTGAGTGCCTTGAGGAATAGGATTTCGCGAATGAGCTGGGGTCTACAAGGATCCTCTTGACAAGGAAGTTTGCTATATGAAGGGTGATAACTAGAGCATCATGGTGGGGGTTTAAGAGCATCACCATTTCATTGTCAATGAACTCAATGGTTAGATCGGTTGCCTTCTGCAAGTGTGGCCCAGAGGATTGGACCTTTGGGTCAGCTACGGCTTTGGCATGACACTTGGCCAAGGAGTAGCTTACACTGCTTACTTCTGATCCACCTGAGATCACATTACACAACCCATTTGCTGGCTGTGCTTTTTTTTGAGGTGTAATCTGGTGATCCTTGTTTTCCAAGGTGTTTTTCCCTTTGTCCGTTAGGAAGTCGTGGAGATGGCCTTTCTTCAGTAGCTTTACTATCTCAAGATAGAGGGCGATACAATCGGCAGTGACATGGTCATGGTCTCCATGGTATTCACACCACTTAGTGGTATCTCGCTTGGCCTTAACGTGTGGTAAATTCATGGGCCATCTGACAACTTTCCCTATCTCTATTATTACAGCCACAAGTTTCATTGGTTCGATGTTTTGGTTGTATTCAGACATCTTGTATCGATAGGGTGGGACTTATGTCTTTTTGTTGTGTCGAGCTGAATGGCAGTCCATTGGGCGTTGGTTGTCTCGGTTAGGGGTTCTTGTTGGTTGGTGGTAAGGCTTAGTAGGGCAGTTATTTTGGTGCTGTTTGGTTCTTCTGGAATGGTGATCGTCATAGGCAGAGTGTTTGATATGGTTCACTTCATCTTCTTCCTACCTTATTTCTACTAGAGCTCGAGCCAACACATCTTCCATGGTGGAGCAGTTGAACTTGATAAGCTCTTTATATAACTCACTATCGAGGAGGAGCCTCTTCCTGAAGGCATTAATGGTTGTCTCTTAATTGCAATATGAAATGGAGATTTGTTCTTTGTTGAAGCAACCCACGTAGTCTCAAATGTTTCTCCGTGGTGTTGACGTACTCTATAGAGGTCACTAGAGAGCTTCTCAAGTCTCTTGCTACTAGCGAACTGCTTAACAAAATTATTCGTGAGTTAAGTAAATGAGTCAATAGAGTTGTTGGGTAAGTTGGTATACCATGAAGGGTTGATCCCATGCGGCTAGAGCCGAAGCTCTTGCACATGCATGCTTCGCAAAGATCGCACTAGATGGCGGCAGTGAACATCCTTTATTTGTAAGATGTTATGTGGTCATCAGGATCGGTGGTCCCATCATAGAGTTTCATATTGAGGAAGGTGAACTTGCAAGGCATCTCTATGAGGGTTATGGCATCCATGAAGGGTGAGTCGGTGTAGCTTTGGGGTTGGATTTTCTTGAGAGGTGTGGGTATACCAGCAATGTGCTAGATCATGCTCTCTATCTCGGAAATCGTTTAGCCAGGGATTACTATAGGGGTGTTGCCACGAGAGTGTATAAATTGTTTAGGGGTTGATATTTATGAAAGAGTTGAGCCAGATTGTTTGGTGGGTGGCTTCTGCTACTGAGTGCATGGGATGTGTTTGCAGTAGGATGAAGGGAGTGTTCAGTTGTTGGGTTGGGGTGTCATTTAGTGGGGTCGGCTCAACTTGGGGTAAGGTTGTAGTTGGGGGTAAGTGGAGGTGGGTTTGATTTGTCAAGGTACCATGATTTAGGGTGGAGAACAATTGCTTTGGGTGAACGGGGAGCGGAAAAGAGGAGGTGTGTTGCTTACTCAAATTCCAATCTAATGAATAGAATTGGCTTACCATGTCTTGAAAGGCATGATTCTCTATGCGGATGATCACGTTTTGAGCTTCCAAAGCCTAGTACTTATCGTTGCTCTCTTGCACCAGTGTGGTGAGGGCCGCAATCTGAGCTGCAATGCCAAGAGTGAAGGTTTCGGTGTTTCCAGTCATGATGGCTAAATTGGGAGAAAAGATCAGAAATAGAGGTCGTTTAAGTCGAATAGTTGTCAAGGTCCCACAGTGGGCACCAAACTTTAGATGGTAAAATCTACTATTGTTTTGGAAGGGATGTATCCTGTAAGAGTAGAGCCACTAACAATGCAGTGGGCTTGCACGAAGAGGAGAAGAGAACGTGAAGGCTAGATAAATACCGGTGTGGTGTCTGCCTTAGACACTCCGACGCTCAAGTCAATGAAACTGTAAGAGCAATTGATTTGGAAGGGAGAAAAGATAAGAAATAGAGGTTGTTTAAGTCAAATAGTTGTCAAGGTCCCACAATGGGCACCAAACTTTAGATGGTAAAATCTACTATTGATTTGGAAGGGATGTATCCTGTAAGAGTAGAGCCACTAACAACGTAATGGGCTTGCATGAAGATGAAAAGAGAACGTGAAGGCCAGATAAATACTGGTGTGGTGTCTACCTTAGACACTCCGACGCTCAAGTCAACAAGGCTGAAGGAGAGGGTTTGTCTTTGTTTATATAATGAACCCAAGAGGTTGGAATCCTAGTAAAAACGTTGAATACTAGTTGGTGGAGGCATTCCAATTAGGAAGGAACTATGATCTCTTGCCTTTCTCAAATTAGACTTAACATTTTGAGTAAGATTCAGGATCTTGACAGAAGCGGAAATAGAATAGGATTCTGATTCCTATTATGGAATTTTGTGGACTGATGGGTCAGAGCCCAATTTAGCTTTACTTGTAGGATAACCTAACTCATTGAGTGAGCATTTCATAAAACGAAATCAAGCGTGGGCTCAATTGGGATTGGGTCAAGGCACTAGGCCATAGTATGTTTATTTTGTTGGACCTCGTCAGACCAAACACGATTTTTGGCCTATACAACTTTGAAACGAGAAACACACATGTTATTTTTCACACATACACGCATACTATTGTTCACACATACATATAATGGTAAAAGAACAAATAATGGTGACTTTGAAACGAGAAAAAATACACGAAAAATAAAGACTTGATTGAAGTTACCCATATAAATGGATATTACTACTATTGTTTTGTTTAGACGGATAAGATTTAGAAAGTATTTAGTCAAGAGATCAAATTCTTACTAATATTTATTCTCTTACAATTTGGAAACCTGCCCAATTCTTTTTTGGTTAAGAAATAAGAGGTTTCTCCATTCTCTACCTAGATGTCAGCATGAGATAATTCAACCATCACCCTTTGCATCACCAGACGTCTTAAACTCCAGCTTAATTTATATATAGAAACGTTGCTTTCAATATTTTACTGTGGTCTATAATTTATCGTACCCAATACTCTAGATCTGCCATCTTTACTTGAAGACAGTCTTTAATTAAAGGTAGGGCCGGCTCTCGTCTCTTCTTAATTCTTATTTGGGTGGGATTTCATAATATTTATTATTTTTTTTTTCCTTTAACTGGGGATTGAAATTAAAAGCTAGATTTTTGTTTACTATAATATAACACAATTTTTTAAACATTATATTAAAGACATTAAATAGTTAAATTTCAAAATTAATTATTAGTGTTCATTTCATATACCTGTATAAATTATTTAATTTAAAAAATACCCAAACTATTTGGAAACCATAAAACTGTCTATATGTATTAAATACTCTTTAAATTATTAAAATCTCCCTGCCTTACAACGGTTTTCAATATTATAGAGAGGTTTTAAATAGTTTTGGAAACATTTGGTGTGCTTAAGATTAAACAATTTTGTAAAAGACATATAACGTTATCTAACTCTTAATAATCATTAAGTGAATTATTTAAAAATAATTAATGTAAATTGTTAATTTAGTTGCCTGTTGGATTATATATATAAAATCTTAATTTCATGCCATTAATCATATAAAGAAGAAAAAAAAAATTACGCACCTAGGTGTTGATGAGTTGATTTGACACTACGATAAATAATATGATAATGAAATGTCCAAGTGCACCTGTGTGATCGGTGCAAATTAATTAATTTAATTGATGTCATAAAGAAAGTGTAATTATATGCTTTTTAAACTGTGAATCTGTCAATCAAATCTTTGAATTGTAAGGATTAGTGATAACCACTACATCAAATCGATTTATACATATGATTTTACGTTTGGAACTTATATGGGTAGTTTCAAATTAAACTATTTTATATGCAACATGTATAACTTTCTAAAACTGTAGTTGTAACTTGTAAGGGCACAGTTAGACATTTAATTATTTATATTAGAGTTTAGCGGGAAAGCCACAATAACTTAAGTTACTTTTGGTATACTTTTTTAAATAATATATCTAAAATTCTATTCTGAATAAAATAACATAGGATTTTAAAAACGTGTTTGTTACATTATTATCATTTTCTTTAAAATATTTCGAATTTTTTTAATCCTTATATTTTTTTATTTTAACTAAACATTCTCACAATAAAAGTTTACAAATTAACAAAAACAATCTATCCACCCGATCATCGGCATGATATTATCTAATATTATCTCTATTTTTGGGATCCAAATGATAAAATTAACTATGATAGAATAATATTGATAATTTACCTTACATATTTAACCTTAAAACTAAAATTTTAGTGGTCAAACAATATAATGAGATGAACAAGACTAGCTTTGGGGTTAACAAGGACGTTTCTTAAACCAAGTGGACACAAGATCCTTTTAGGATTCCATCCTTTTTTATATGCTTTTAACATGTTAGTAGATTCCATTGTGAAGGCCAAAAGGAAAGTTACTTTGTGGATAAGCAGTCCTGTAAATGGTATTATCTTAATGCGTGACGTTTCCAAATTTACCCCCCTTCACCAAAACAACAATCAATTTACATTATTTTCTCTTACTAATTTCACATTCTTTTCACCATCAATTTATATTGATCTTGTATTGTAGGATGTTAAATAATGGCATGTTCACCCTATCACCCTTTGTCTTTTTTTATTTTTTATTTTATTTTATTATTATTATTATTATTTTTTTTTTTTGGGGATGCAATTCGGAAGGGTAAAAAAAATTACTTCCTTGATATTTTAACGTATGACAACAAAATAGTGACCTATATTTCTAGGCTAAATGCTTGTCTCCAAAAAAAGGGCAGTAGTTTATACTTTATACATAGACAAATAACTAGAAAAGAACTAATATTTTAGAATAATTTAAGGCCGCCCAGATCCTGCTATTTTTTGGCATACAATTAAATGTTTTTGGAAAGGCAGCGGTATGGCATTAATTTCAATTCCCATATCTCAACTAAAGTATTTGGGCAGGCTAATATCGCTATTTCAATATTCAAATTGCTTTTGCCTTATATTTTACGCAACCATGTTAAATCATACGTATCCACACGTATATATATCGTGTGGCAATAAAATTTTCCCATTTTTGTAAGGAATTAAGTTTATTGAGGTTATAATGTATAAATGCTTATTTTGAAAAAAAACAAAACAACCCATCAATTATACTGTTAAAAAGAAAAGTTGGAGATTAAAACATAAATATATAAATCTTAATAGATAATTCATTTGCAATGAACTGGTCATTTAAACGATAAGAGATAGATTTACTGTAACTCTATATATGACATTAATGGATTATATTCATACAAGTGTCTACACATAAAAACGATAAATCGGAAAATATTAAATGCCT